GTCTTTCAGAAAATAGTGTCACTTCTACAATTCTTTTGCTGCTCCAAACCTGCTGTGCCAAAAATCTTTTCAGCCAAGATCTGAGCTCTGCTTTTCTTTGGAGTGTAGTTCGGCTTGTCAGACACAGGTAAGCAATAAAGCAACAACGGCAATCAGGTGAAAAATTAGTAAAAGTTTATTACATATTTGCAAATACGAGTGCACATGAGGTGGACTCAGATCAAATCATACAACAGGTTTTTATATCCCTTTTCCCCACGCTTAACACTGTTCTGGTTTCCCACTGGCTGGATACTAACAACCTTACAATCTATCTGGAGTGCTTGTTAACAAAAATTCCTTAGCTATCGGGCAAAATCTCCCTAGCTGCTACTCACAAAGCACCACAATCTTTTCTTTCTAGACTTTTCTGAACCACATTGTTAACTGTAAGAACAATAAAAAGTTCCTTAACTTTCTTTGTAATTAAACTTTATTTTATTCTTATCTTTTTAATTTTTTTATAATATATTTTTTATTAATTTATGACATACAAAGCGCACGCTTGCCGCACCAGTTATTATACCGGTTGAATGGCACCACTGTTTATTCCACATATTCTCCCACTGTTTAAGCATTACATCGTATCCAATGCCTTGTCCACTGAATCATACAATGTTCGTTTTCCAGATTTAAATTAGATAACACTTTATAGACTTTAGCAATAATATGTTGATCATGAAATTAAAGTCATGATTATTTTTATCTAATTTAAATATTTCTTTCAGTTGTAAATATGTAAACCAATGACAAACATGACATTCTGATTTTAGCTCCTCAGATTTGAGGGTAGGGTCCCCTAAGTTAAAATATATTATTTTATCATAAGTCCACCAGTTTGGCCTTGTCAGCTTTTCTTTTCTTAAAAAAAGCTTCCTGTGAAGAAACCCAAAGAGGCATCTACATGGAAAACCATGTTTTATATTTATTCCAAACTCTCAAAATAGCATGTCTGACAAAAAGATTTGAAGTCAACATTTACTTTAACTTTGTCATGCCATAACTAAATCTTAATTCATGGCTTTCTAAGTCCAGTAGCCTCTTATTCTAAAAATTCACCTATTATTTTAACCAGACCAAACAGAAGACCTCAAAATAAAATTTTATATCTGGTAGACCCAGAACTCCGCTTTCCTTAGCTTCCTTAGAAGCGTGCAGAACCAGTAGTACACAATTTGGAATCCCACCACTGATTGCCATATAAACTTTGAGATATCCCTCTGCCATTGTTTAAGTAGAATATCAGTTGCAAGTATTGGTAGTGTCTGAAACAAAAAAAAGGATCTTTGGTAAGACATTCATCATAATTACAGAGATTCTGTCCAATAGCAATAACTGCAATTTATCCCACCTTAATAGGTCTTTTTTAATGTCATTCCAGAGAGATACATAATTGTTTTGGAAGTTTCATATTTGTTAACATAACCCCCCCTATATTTCACTTTTTCTCAACCCTAAACCAGACTTTTTAATCAATACATCCCTATCCTGTGCAGTCATATTCTTAATCAGCATTGATGTTTTGAAATCTGCTAAAGACCTAAACTCCATTAATTTCCTCATCAAATATTCTATGTTGTTGTTTTGGGTCTTGCAGACACATCATCTGGTACCGGCCTGCCAGATGTGCTATGCAACCACCTGTGTAGAAAAAAAAAAAGACATCCCCCCCAAAATAAGGCCTAGTGCTTATTTTAGGTCCAAAAGAAAATAAGACTGGGACTTATTTTCAAGAAAACATGGTATTATGTCTCACTGTAAATTGATTCTTATTTCTGTCTTAATTTTATTATTAGCTACCAATTTTATTATTAGCAATTTTAACAACAGTCACTATAATTGGACTCCTTTAGTTTTGAAACAATAATCAATTATTATGCACTATTCTTCCTTGCACATTGCATCATTAGATTTTCTCTAGATATAATATTAATATTAATTACAACTTCTCCATGGATTTTAGTATGATAATGTTCTATACTTTAGATTGATAATTTACTATTCTATTATTTTAAATAATAATTTAATTGCCCTATATAAATGATATACTATATTTATTTTTATGCCAAAGGCCTAAATTTACTTGTACAATTATGTTTTTATAGCATATTTTACTCTAGTAAATTTCTGTGCTGTGTAGGATGCATTGATGTTAAATGTGATTTGTTTTGATTTGCTTATTAGTGATTCAAACAAAATGATTGATTGACTAAATGGAAATCCTCATCTATGAATAATTCCCAACTTTTACAATTGTTTTATAAGATACTTAAATGTAATCCTTCTTCATATGGTAGTTTCATTAATGTATTTAGCAAAATAATTATAAAAAGCAAAATAAAATCTTACAAGTTGAATTAAAAGGTATTTATAAGCTTTCCATTAAAATATTTCTAATAGATTGTGTATCAAATGTCAAAATTTGAAGTACTAATCTTGCTTTTGCTTTTTGTATTTGTATTTTCTCTTTATGAAAGACATAATTCTTTTCTCGCTAAAACTGATAGTTTAACACTTATTTATTTGCTTAAAAACCAATTTCCCAATTGCTGGGACATTTAGGTAATTCTACCCAGAAGTTCTAGTATATTCTAGGGTGGTCACAACCTTTCCAACAAATCTTAGATGTACCACTTGTGTTTATTTATTGAATTTTCCCTAGAGGGCATAAAGTTATTTCTTTTGCATTTTTATATTTAAATAATTATAGAATGTATAGGCATTAGAGTATAGATAAAATGGTCTGTAACTTATATATATATAATTTAATCATATTACTCATTTTCCTCCATGTATAAAGCATATTTGTAAAATAACTTATCTATTGATAAAAATCAAACTATCTTTGAATTATTCTGTTATTTCACAATAAGCTCCAGTGATATTTTAAAAGGGGGAGGGTACAATTTAAAAGGGAGAGGATGTACGACAAATAGTTTCTCTCTATGCAAGTTGTGAATCCAAACAACTTTCCCATAAAACTGACTGCTACTGGTAATTGGCGTTCATGAAAGTGATCTGCTAGTCTTTTGTCATTTGTCCTACATGGTGGCTTTTGCCTATATATTGTAAGGACTGCTTTTTTTCTTCTAGATTTGCTGAGTTTGGGGGTTTATTTAGATGTTTTGGAGGGTTTTAGTTATGTAAAATTGAGATTCTGCAAGGACCTGTATTCAGATCCGTATTTTTTGTTTCACAACAATTCCAAAATTAATCAGAAATATGAATGTATCGTTTACTTTTCAGTGGATATATTCTGTGATTTCAGATGAATTGATTGATGGTACATTTAATAAATTATTTTCTATAATAAATTCTATAATTTATATAATATCTATAAAGCATTCTTTTTTTTCTTCAGTTTGTTTTCTCTTGCTTTTCACATTTCTGTTTTCTTTTTTTACTTATCCATTAGTGTTTCTGTTTGTTTTACCATTCCTTTCCCATTTTTTTTAAAGTAACAAGACATATCTTTAACAACAGGAACATAAAAAGTTGAAAGTAAATTCTGCTTAGAAGAATAAAGCGTTTTGAAGACAGTAGAACATTGTGTCAATTGCCTGAAAACACAAAACTAAAGATTTTAAAAGCCAAACGTTTCCTCTCTCTATAGTCATATTCATTTTACTGGTCTCCATGAATGTAATAATTGTTTGAAGCAAAGGATATTTTTTTCAATTAAAAAGTTATACACTGTTTGTCCATAAGTCTTAGCTGGTAATTGTCTAAGGTGTCTCTGCTTCAGACAATTGAGTAATATTTGTGGCAACTGCCACTTTCCTGAGGATATAAGTGCAATGAAAGGGGTCCCTATTCATTTTCATAATATATAATTCTTTATTGCACCATCAGGAAAGATTTATCATTTTTCTCTGAGTAGAATAACAGAATTGGAAGAGATTTTGAAAGTATTTTAGTCCAACCCCTTGCTCAAGTAGAGAACCTATACTATTTCAGACAAATGGTTGTCCAAATTGTTCTTAACACCTTCCACTGATGGAGCACTCATCAGGTTCTGAGGGCAAGCCGTTACACAATTTCATAGTTCTGTCAGGAAATTTCTCATTTCTAGGTTGGTTCTCTCCTTAATTAGTTTCCATCCATTGCTTCTAATTCTGCCTTCAGATACTTTGGAGAATAGGCTGGTCCCCTCTTCTTTGTAGCAGCCCCTTAGATAATGGAACAGTGCTATTATGTCACCCCTAGTCCTTCTTTTCATTAAACTAGACATACCCAATACTTACAACCGTTCTTCATGTTTTAGTTTCCAGTTCCCTAGTCATCTTTGTTGCTCTTCTCTGCAGTCTTTCTTTACAACTTTTTTATATCGTGGCAACCAAAACTGAATGCAATATTCTGGATTTTTCATATTTTCTTTCAGAAGTGAACATGCTTAAGAAGCTTAACGATCCTTTTTTTGCATTTATTTAAAACAATGCTGTCCCTTTGTATAAATTTAAAAACGAAACAAAAAGAATATTGACCAACAGTAAAAGTCGACATTTTATTTTCAAAAAGCCCGCGATTAATACATTTAAAAAGGGGAATCCAGTTAGCAACCGGCTGGATTACTAATACCAACATTGCCCAGACTAGCGGGAAATACAGTAAAAGAACAAGCGGGGACCCGCCCACAAGCCGGATTTCAAACCCGTCACGCTTGGTGAATATTTTAATTCCAATAGAGCACCAGCTTTTTCTGCACCAAACCACGGGGGAGAAGGAATCAGCCAATAACATTTTGACTGAAGACGAACGTCCGTTATAAAACTAGCAGCTAAGGCACGTGGGGGGCTTGAGCCGTTGGGCTGTTTTTGTTCGGAATTAGTAAGATTATTTCTGCTGGGTCTGCCCCAGATTTCTAAGCCTTCCCTTTTGCTGTTGAAGTGTGCTGCTGCATGAGGTGACACTTACAGAAAGTTATCGGAAATAGAAAAACAAACAAAAAACACCACATCACCAATTTTAGTAAGCATTTTCCAGAAGGTAACTTGGTTAAATTACTTCGCTTTGATATTTCGTGTTTCGCCATGTCTGAAAAAAAATAACCTGCTGTCTGTGGCCCAGATTGTCGTTTAGTATTGATGGGCTTTTTGCCAAGCCTGTATCTCTTAATACATACTGCCTTTTATGTTCAAGCCTTAAGTTATTCCAAAGGCTTTACCAATATTTTCAACCATTTGCTTGATTTAGAAAAGGTTTTTCTCAGGCTTAGGAGAATTTTTTATCTTTTGGAAGCTTTTGAGAGGACCTTAAGTTGCTACCTAGGCCTTGATTGTAGCGCAAAGACAAATTGATACTAATAAAATTTGCCTGCTATTAGGTACTTTTCTAAAACTTGGAAAATTAAGTTACAGTCTGCCTTGTGTTTCAGTGGGGTAAAAGTTTAAATTGTTGGGTATAACTCTTTTTACTACTTGAATATATTGGAGTCATCCCAAACACCTTTACTGATAAGTATCACAATATTTATGACCAAGAAATAATTTAAAGTAAGTAAAACATATTTTAAAACCATGATCCTGATCTGTTCAGACTATTTTACACTAACAGGAAAAATGCTGAAAATTGCTGGAATACAAGAGTTGAATGGGTGGTGGTCTACTCCAACACCCCCCCCCCCCCCCCAGCAAGAACCTCTATATCATTCTGGACAAATAGCCATCCAATCTTCTTGAAAGCCTCCAGTGAGGCAAGCTGGTCCACTGATTAATTGTTCTCATTGTCAGGAAATTTCTCCTTAATTCTAAGAAAATGTAATCTCAACTCATAACACCATTGGATTACACATGTTATACTGGAAATGATATATAATATATAATAAAGCTAAACTCCCATGCGGAGTATGGTATGATATTGAATATGAAATCTTTAAAGTACTCACAGTTTGGTCTAGCAATTAAGGAATCAATCTAGAAACCAGTAGACCAGGGGTGTGAAACTGGAAGCATATGGGCTGGATGTGTCACATGCAGGCTACACCCACTCCAGCTCTGCAAAGGGAAAAATCATTATGAAATGTCACATGGCAGCAATGTGACGCTGTGAGTTTGAGTCCCCGTGCAATAGGCCGTTAATTTCCTCTTTAGACATGAAAGCCAGCTGTGTAATTGTGAGCCAGCTCACAAGGTTGTTGTAGAAATAGGAAAAAGTAGTATTAGGTATGTTTGCTGCCTTGGTTATTTTGAAACACAACTCTGGGCTACATATAAATATGATATAGTGGACCATGTTCCTTTTAAAGTGTGTATGTAAGAATATTGGATCCAGTCTGTCGTATCGGCCGATACGCTCACAAAAGACGCGAGGCAGTGACTGGTTTTAGCTCTTTTTATTAAGGTTTTAAAATCTGCCGCCGGCTGGGTATGCGGCGGCTTATATGGAACTGGCGCCGCGGCCAATGACAGCCGTTCGAATCGCCCGCAATCGGCTCGGCCAATCGCGGTCGATTCCAAACGGCCAATCAGTGCCGCGCGCTCGACCAACCCGGTTGCTGTGCGCTTGTCCAATCAGGACTGCAGGGTTTCAAGAATGCTAATGTCCATACAAAACACAGTCTATGGGGTATTTAGATCTGGCCCGCAGGGCCAGCCTAGAAACAGTGAAGGACTGGCCTGTGTTGCCTCTGCCCATGAAAATGGAGCTAGGGAGGGCTGCGTGCGACTCTTCTGAGATCCATTTTCTCTGGCAGAGGGTTGCAGGAGACCATTGCAGCTGAAAATGGAGGTCGGGAGGATTGTGTGTGGCCCTCTGGGCTCTGTTTTCTCTGGCAGAGGGTTGCAGGAGGCCGTTGCAGAAGAAAAGGAGCTCAGCAGCCTGTTTTAGCTGGCTCAGGTCACCAAAGGCACCCCCGACACAAATGACGTTGAGTTGGCCATGCCCACCCTGACTCCCCCCCCCCCAGGTCAAACACAACCCTGATGCAACCCCCAATGAAATTGAGTTTGACACTTTTTATGCTTTTTTAATGCATGTCCATTTGTCCCATTTCTGGGAGATTTTTCACTTTATGAGATACTTTATTTTGCTTAGTTTCCTATTGACCACACTGAAATGAGCCATGATGGTGCAATGGTTAGAATGCAGTATTGCAGGCTGACTCTACTCACTGCCAGGTGTTTGATCCTGATTGGTTCAAGGTTGACTCAGCCTTCCATCCTTCCAATATCGATAAAATGAGGACCCAGATTGCTGGGGACAATTGCTGACTCTGTAAAGTCCCACAGGACTTGGACCGTTGCTACCACCATCCCTGCCCTCTGTGTCCCATCATCTGCTTGCCAACAGCCACAACAGGCCAAACTTTCAGCGTACCCCAGCGTTCACCCACCCTGCCTGCTGACCCTGCTGCTGTTGGAACACTGGAAGGTTGGGCTGTCTCAGGCTGCTGATGAAGTAGACAGGTGATGAGATAGACAGCTGTGCAGCGTGTCAAGGTCGCCTGTCCTTCCCCTGTACCTCTGACCTACTGCTGGGCATGCTGCACCTGCTGCTGCTAGTCTTGTGGTGGCTCTTCGTCCTCCTGGCTGTGCTGCTCTAGGCTGCCCTGCAGCTGTGGTGGGCAGGAACTCTATGCAACGGGATGGAGAAGGGAGAGAGAGATCACCCATCCTTTGTACCCCAAACCCTGTCTTCCCTGGCCACCGAGCCTCTGGCCTGCACCCTGTGTTAGAAAGGCGAGCAAGACGTGCAACTCAATGCTACCAGTATGCTTTGCAATGCAAGCCATGCAAAGCAACCCACCCCAACCTTCTTGGCTCCAGGACAATCCCAGACTTGGGGTGCACATGGGACCCCCAAGGCAGAAGCCTCCCGGTGCCGCAGCTCTTGAGCAAACCCCTGACTTCCTTGTGCTGATTGGAAGGCTGGAGGCTTCACAGCCTCCACTGACCAACCTCTGTCCTGTACTTGCTGCTAGCCTTGTGCTGCTCTTGGCTGTGCTGCTCCTACTACCCTGCCGGGGCTCATTCACTAGTGGTTACTGGTGGAGCCGCACCACCTTGCCTGCCATCGCCTTCAGACTGTACCTCTCCCCTGCCCTGTACAGCTTTAATGGGTAGGAAATCTGTTGGCCCTGCAGCGGGACAAATGGCCTTGGAGGTGCACCAGGCAGGAGCACACCCACCCCTTCATTTTGGGGTAGGGCTTATACTAGGCCCACACTTAAAAATCAGGCTGTCTTATTTTGGGGAAAACATGGTAAGTCTATGCTATTACTGTTGCTATTCTTTACCTCATTTTGCATTGGATCTGCTTTTTCTGTCCATCTTAATCCTTTTATTTCATTTTATAACTTTTGAAATGAAGGGTTACTCTACTATTGGTCAATGGTCACAATAAAATTTTTCAATTTTATGAAAGATTTACTTATTCTAAACTAATTTTGTATTCTCAACAAAGACGGCTTATCTGAAATCTATAGTACCATGACTGGAGATACATCAAATCCACTTGCGATAATCTCTTCCTCCTTACCTTCTTTCTGGAAAGCAGTTACTATGGTGATGCTGATTCTGAAGTGTATGATAACAGATTGCAAAGTACAAGACAAGCTTTTTTTTTTTATTCGTTCAGTTGAATTAAATCTTTATCTTCAGAGGATTTATGATCTTTTGTTACAATTTTTCAGGTATAAATTTAGTTGGAATGTTATAAAATTAACCTTAGTTATATTTAGTTTGTTGTAGGCTTAAGGAACTATATATTAAAATCCTAAATGTAAAGTAATTATGCTTAGAAGCTTAAAAAGAAAAACCTCTAATTAGTCTTGCCCTATATATGATCTCCTGGCTAGTCTGATTGTTTCTGTGTTTGAGTTTAATTAACAAAAGCAGTAATTAACAAAATACTAATCTTTATAATTTATGTATCTTGCCTTTAAACAGGTGAAAAAGCAATAGTTAAATCCCATCATCTCTGAAGCATTCTTAAGAAAAATATATTTAATAAAGTTGCCATTTGGGTAATTGTTTCAAATAACTACCCTGAGATTGGGATCATGGAATGTAGAAAATGCAGAGTGGAAAAAGATGCAGATATATCATCCACCCTGAATGTATCACAAGAAGCAAAATGTCTCCAAAAATATGAGGTTGATAATACCTGTTGTGATCTTCAAATGGGACCTGAGTATTCCATTTCAAGCCAGTCATGTTATTTAGATGCCTCATTTTTAAACTTATCAAAAGAAAACCTAATTTCATCAGCCAAAGAAGAATTTACTTATGTCCATAAACAGCAACACAATACAAATGAAATAAATACTAATATAGAGTTCTCATACTTTAAGAATGAGAGTGCAAACAAATGCAATTATTTTGATGATGACTCTCAGTTAGAATATCACAGTGCTGAAGAACAAGATTATGTTGATTGTGTCTGTTCATATAGGCAGAAAACAGAAAATTCAGAAAGTTTTCAAGAAAAGGAAATGGTAAATGAAAATGATGTTACAGATCAGCAGCCATTGGACAAACCTGAAGATACATTTTCTACATCAAATTGTGTTGTTAAGGATCATTACAATGGCAATGAAATATCAACATTCTCTCAGATGTTTAAAGATGTCAGTTGTACACAGAACCAGCATATAACTTTAAGTGAAAAAAGAAATGAAAGTCTTAGCATGTTTTATAGTATTATTAAAGATTCATCTCATATTAAGGTTAATAAAAAAAAGAATTCAAAATTGTTTTTAACTAGCAAAGCTGAGATGGAAGAAAAGATTAAAGTAAAATTTCTTAATGATACCACACTGAAATCTATTACTGAAGAAATACTTCAAACAAGCGATTATCTAAATAAAACTGGAAATCCAAATATATTATGCCAGGAGAGAAGGTTACTACCTTTTCCTCAGATTTCTCATAATACAGAAGATTCAAATACATGTGCTTACAAACCATCAGTTATAGTTAATAAGGATATCTACAATTCCTGTGAACATTATAGAAATTGCATTGAGAATTTTTCTAGTTCAGAATTGAAATGCATCGTAAATACACACCATGAATGTGATAAAAACCAAAGTACAATTAACCAAGCTATTGATGCAACTGCTGACTTTAGAGCTAGTTTTACAACAAGTCGTGCCATTAATGTTAAAAGTCCAGTGGCATCTAAGGCACAAAACACTGTGATAACAATGATGAGTAAATGTAGACCCAGGGAATGGTTGGCACAAGATTCAGAAATACTGCCTGAAATAGTTGACTGTAGAAGTGTTGCCTGCAATACAGACTGGTCGTATAATATCTCTGGCAATGTGGATATGATTGACTCACAAATAGCAAAATCTGATACGTTGGAAGATCGCATTACTAGTGATGCTACAAAACATGGATGGAAATTGAATTCTGAGGTAATTGAAAAATGCTGGGGCGTTTTATTTAATTACCAAATTATTTCCTTGTATTTCTAATAATTCTGGGTAAAATATATAAGCTGGTATGCTTGTGTAAAGAAACTTTCTCAGAATAGCTTTGGAATAATGCTGTAATCCACAAAAACCCTTTCTCTCCCTCCCCCATTGTGATGGAGAAGTGTTAGGGGTCTGATTGATTTTTAAGAGGAAGACCTTAGTCATATTCATTTTATAGATGCCAATATATTTGTTTTAAATATCTGTAAAGTACTATAGGTAGTATAAATTATTACCTATTGTATAAATATTAATTATACATTAAAATACATTTCAACACTTTCTCCCATTCATGTATGCCTCCGAAATAGAAGTGTGGTAAGGAATCTGTTTCTCTAGTAATTTGAATTTTGGCAAACAGTATTAAAAACATATCCTGGTTTCCTTTTGTAGATTTAAGTATCTTCCTCAGAACTTTTTGAAGAAGTCCAGTGAAAATTTTCATGGCAACTATTGTAGGACTATCTTAGAACATAATGGTCAAATACTTAATATAGGCTTGATTGAAAATTAATAACTGATGAGAATACTTTAATGTTAGTAGTTACTTGCAGATACATAATTTTTTATACATTGATCTTTCCAGGATCCTTTGGAATGGAGTAATAGCAAATATTTGAATGAAATTTCATACAGGTATGATCTAAAAAAATGTTTTTCTTTAAAATAACAAATAGTCCTCAACCTATGATCAAATAGTCCTCAACCTATGATCATAATTGAGACTACATTGTTTGGTCCCAGCAGTTGTTAAGCAAGAAATCACATTTCTGCTTTGCTAAAGAACTGTAATGCTGGCATTTCCAGTTGTGGTTGTTGTTAAGTGAACTTGCAAATTGTCACGCAGATGGAATAAAAGCTGCTTGCCAAAAAGATTCCAGTCATGGGACTGAATTCCTCTGAAAGGCAACCCTTTTTCTCTCAGAGGGATAAAAAAGCCACCCCCTTTTTTGAAATCATATGTCCATTCAAGATGGGTTCTTCTTCATCGTCCCAGTCTCTTGTTGCATTTCCTGGTAAGCACAAATCGCCATTTCTAAAAAGCCAAAAATAGATCCAAAAGAGCCATCTTCCTCCTGAAGTTTTTCAAACTGCATTTTCAAATCTTCAAAGGACACCATTATGAGCAGAAAAGGATTTTTTTTTTAAGCAATCCAAATGTTTTCTTAGTCTTTCCAAAGATAGTTAAAGTCCCAAAGTCAATTGCTCTTCCTGGGGGAGAATTCAATTAGATAATTCCAAGACATTTTTTGGAAGTTTGGAAGTTTAATTACAGTTTAGTCTCTAATCTTATAAAACTCCAAGCCATCTTCTTCAACACACATTAGTATAAATCATTTATCTCTCTTCCTTCCCCCTTAAAGCAAAAAGATTTGAGTTTTAAAGAGTCAATATATGAAGATATAATTTCCCCTTGGCTTCAATTTTGAAAGTAAATACCTTCTATTGCCAATACGAGTGTTTCAGGTTTCCATCTGCTGCCTCCGTGGGAAGGAAAATGAGGAAAAAGAAAAGGTTTTCCCTTACTCATCCACCGCAGCTTGCCGATTCTTTGGAAGACAATAAATCACTTAAAAAGCCAAAGTTCCAGGGTATTCAGATGTTAATTGTTGTCCCGGCTCAGCCAAAAGCTTTCTCTGTTTTTTCTTTATTCAACACCACTCCTGCACAATCTTTTCCCGGATGCCAGCCTCTTCATGGCGGCCATAAGACCACCGCTGCATCGTCCTGAGAAAAGGAAGTTTAAAACTGGATGTGGGGGTGGATCTGCGACATCCCCCCTCCCTTCCCCAGATCTTCCCTGTCTTCGGCTGAATCTACAAAACAGCCTTATCCTCCAAATCCATCAGGATCGGAGGCACCAAGACGGTGAGCCCAGCAGGGATCGCGAGGAGACGCAAATCCCTGCTGCCACCAAGATTCCAGTCATGGGACTGAATTCCTCTGAAAGGAAGCCCTTTTTCTCTCAAAGAGGGATAAAAAAGCCATCCCCAAATCCAAATAGGCTTTTGGCATGGAGCGTTTACAGCATGGGGTATTTGCAGCCGATCCCCAGAGAAAAAATTCCTTCTTGTTTCTGGGGACTGGCTGCAAATCTTTCTTGGATTTTGGGATGGACCTTTTTCAGCCAGTCCCCAAAAACTAGAGGGAGGTCTTTTGGCAGCAGCTTGCAACCTTCAACATCACCTATTCCATTCATAGAAGTCCTGTGAACCTAATCTCTTCAAAATTAACAAAATTACAGTTAGATCTGAATTAGCGAATAGTTATATTAGAAACCAAACTGAGTACACCAAAGTAATTTCTTAAAGCTATTCTCAATGCAATAAAATATTACTACACTCATTAAGGGATTTTTTTTCTTTGTCCCTTCAAATTAGTGTTGACTCTTGGTGATCACCTGGACTAAACCTGCAGTTTTCTTGGTAAGGTTTTTGGGAAGTAGTTTGGCCTTACCTGTTTCTAGAGCTGAGGGAGAATGACTGGCCCAGGATCACCCAGCTGGATTTGTATCTAAGTCCAGGACTAGAACCAGTAGTGGTATTCGGCCGATTCACACCGGATCGGGTGAACCGGTAGCAAGAATTTGGTGTGGGTCGCAGAACCTGTAGTAAGTTCTGGCTGGCCATGCCCCCCACTTGGTCGCACTCCCGCCCGATGCTCGCTCACCCTGCCTGCCTGACATTCACCTAAGGTATTTCTTTTTTTTCCCTCCCGATAATCAGCTGTACATAAGATCAGCTGTGCTGAAATTCCCCTTGCTGGGGCCCAGGAAGGCAAAAAATGGAGGGAGGAGCTAAGCCCCCCCTCCATTTTTTGCCTTCCAGAGCCCCAAAGGAGCCTTAGGGGAGCAAAAATGCCCAGAGGCTCCCTCCCAGAGGCTCTTTTGAGGCTAGGAAGTTCCCAAAATTGAGCTTGGAGGGGTGCTGCATGCCCCTCCCATGCTTTGTTCCTTTTCTTCCTGAGCCCCAGAGGAGCCTTAGGGGAGCAAAAATGCCCCCCTCAGAAGCTCTTCTGTGGCTAGGAAGCTCCCAAAATGGAGCTTGGAGGGGTGCTGCATGCCCCTCCCATGCTCTGTTCTTTTTCCTGAGCCCCAGAGGAGCCTTAGGGAAGCAAAAACGCCCCTCCCAGAAGCTCCTCTGGCTAAGAAGCTCCCAAAAATGGGTGGGGGCTGCAAAAAAAGCCATGCCCACCCAGTCACATGGCCAGTCCACCAAGCCATGCCCACAGAACCGGTAGTAAAAGTTTTTGAATCTTACCACTGACTAGAATTCACTATCTTTCAAGTTTTCTAGCCTGGTGCCTGAAATCACTGTACCAAACTGGTTCCTTTCATTGAAGGGATAGCTGACAGAAACAAAGAAAAAGAAAATACATTTCTAATTAGTCCATATTTCTTGGTATTAATATTAACTAACATTTCTATTTGAAAGGATGATGCAACTATCAAAAGAAATAAGTTGTTTGCCAAACTGTTGTAAAGAAACACTACAGACAGCCATCAAAGCTGAAATTGAGCTTTTAAACCTTCGTTATCAGATGTTTTATCAGCACTGCTGGCAGACTTGTAGACTTTTTATGAAAGAAAAGGAAAATATAAGCAGGTTTGTAAGAAATTATGTTTAAAATAAATAGGTTATATATAGAAGACATAACTTCAGGTATAAAAATAATACCCATTATATTATTCCAGAAAGGAGGTGCACTAAAGGATTACACCATTAGTTATATAATTTTCTCAGGTTGTGTGTATGCTTGATATTTAAATGTCCCATTGCCACCAAATTAACCTCTTCCTGACTTTCACTTTTGTTTTCCCCCCACATCAGCTATACAGCTTTTTCCCATTTTTGTTTCCTTCTCTGCAAGTTTTATATCTTTAACCTGCCATTTCCAATTGTTGGTATTATTCCTTTAAATTTATGTCTGGGTTCTATAAATAATTTAAGAAAATGAAAATGGTCATGGTCAGAAACCAGAGTTTTATATGAAGTTATTTCAGTCATCCCTCTTTTTTTCCTAGCATTCCATTCAAATGTGCTTTCCTGGAGGCTAAGACAGTTATCTAAAGGATTGTATGATTCCTGAAGGATACTTTCAGAATCCTTTACACTCTTTGGTTCCAAGATTAACTATAGTTATTTCTCAGCATAGAACCTACTTTCCAGTTCTTTGAGTATTCAGTATGCCAAATTCAGCCAATGTAGTCCTGGCTGCATCATCAGAGAGATAGCATCAAGATCACAAGAAGTGATAGTTCTGTTGTATACTATAGTGAGGCTACATTTGGAATACTGTATCTAGTTGTGGTCACTACAATACAAAAAGATACTGTGACTTTAGAAAGAGTGCAGAGAAGAGCAATGAACATGACAAGGGTCTGGAGATTGAAGCACTTAAAAGTCTCTGCTCAAAACTAGATGCATTTCTTTAGGTAGACTGACCGAAGCGTTGTAAAGTGGACTAACTTTCTGTTATTTGAAAAAAAATAATTATTTCTTTTATCTATTTGTATCCTGCCTTTATTGTTTTTACAAATAACTCAGGCTGAACATATGCAACATATATTTCTCCTCCTATTTTCTCCACAACAACCCTGTAAGGCGGATTGGGCTGACAGAGAGTGACTAACCCAAAATCACCTAGCTGACTTTTATGGCTAAGGAGGACCTGATTTCATGATCTCTGAATTTTTTGCCTGGTACCTTAACCACTAGATCAGGGTTATCAAACTCAAGGCCCATGGGGTGCTTAGATCTGGTCCGCAGGGCCACCCTGGAAACAGCAAAGGACCCGTGGTGTCTACCAGCGGAAACAGAGCTCGGGGGACCACACTTGAGCTCCATTTTCACTGGCAAAGGGCTGCAGGATGCTGTCATGGCCGAAAACAGGATCGCCCGAGCTCTGTTTTTACTGGAAGAAGGCTGTAGGAGGCCATTGTGGCCGAAAACGGGGCCTGGGTCAAACACAACCCTGATGCGGCCCTCAGTGTAATAGAGTTTGAGTTGCACTAGACCAAACTTCACTTTATATTGCCTCACATTCATGTTTAATCAGTTACTATTCCAAGATATTTTTCACAAATGGTATAGTCAAGCTAGGTATTCCGAATAGTCTTGGAAATTAAATTAATAAATAATAAAATAAATGAACACTATTCATCTAGTTCTGGAAATTAGAATTCAATCAGGAAATACGGAATAATGAGGCTAAACACTCTTTCTCTAAAAAGGTACTGATCTTCCTTGATATTTCAGGTATATATTATTTTGTAAGAACAACTAAATGTATTTACATACTTAAATACATTTCACATAAATTTAAAAATGTTTTATATATTTGAAAGAATGGATGCAATTTATGCCTGAAAGGAAAGGTTTCAATAAAAATGTAATTTAAGGCAAGATTAGTAAGAAAACTGGTTGGAAAATATTTTGTCTACCTATGGAAATACTGCATTTATTTAATATTTTGTCTTAATTTTTAGTTCACCACTTGGAACCAGAAAATCGGTGTCAGAAATGTTATTGTCACAAGATAATGAAGTATCTTTACTGCACTTAGTGAGTTGGGACTTGGCTTTTTTGCATAGTTACTTCATTACTTTGAGTTTGTGGTCTTTTAAAATTAAGTATTTGAATGCAAATTCAAAAATAGAAAACATTTTAGTATCCATACCTCAAAGCATATATATATTATGTAATATATATTGTTATATTTTGAACATGGAAATAATAAACTTGACTAATATATACTAATTCATTTTTTGTTTCAAACTGCTCAATTTTTAAAGTAATATTCAATGAATGAATGAAATTTAATTAGCAAAAGTAATTCAAGTTTCTATTGTGATAATTCTGAGGAAAATTCTCAGGAAAATATTATGTAAGCCGAAGTATCACTGAAAGTATCACTGAAAGCAAAATTCAGTATAGGCTTTTTAATAGATTACATCTCAAAAGAATGAAAACAGTGATTCTCATCAGTGCCTTTCCAAGATAGAGGAGAAAGAAAACAGCCTTGAAGAGAAAAGTAAGTTCAACTTCTTTCTTTAAATTGTACTTGGAGCTAAACCAATACTCAATCCATGTCCTATAATGTAGATGTAATATGTGTTCAAACATCAAGAATCAGTTAAAACATAGGTTTCTGCCTTCTGGAGTAATTGTAATTTCAGAATACTTTTTTCATGTATTCCTGTGCAAAGTATTTTATAATATTACAGTAATCTATATTACAGTAATCTATGTAGATGGTTGTAGATCACATGCTATTGTCACCTGGTCTTCTGTGCAGATTAGGAAACAGCCAGGATGAACAAAGGCCACTCTGGCCACTGCTTACTTCTGTTGCTAAAGCAGGAGTCATGAGTCCAAATTCTCAAATGATAAACCTGATCTTGAATAGATAGATCTGTCCAGAATTATAGTGGTGCTGAAGGAGACACTCATTGTACCAACCTGTGTTGCTTGGGTGCAATTTGAGCCATTTATACCTTACCATCAACATATCAACAGCATTCCCTTCACAACCAAGGATAGCAATATATAGCTGTGTGTCATCAACATATATCCCAATGTTGGGATAACTGCCTAGAATTGCTTCAATAGTGAAATGAGAGGCATATGAATTTAGTAAATAAATAAAGCAAATAAATATATTGTCACAGATTCACGTGTTCAGTCCTTCATTCAGTGCAATAGCCAGTGAGAAAGGTGAACTACTTAATTCCTTCTTTGCCTCTATGTACATGCAAAGAGAAAAAATAGTCTGACCTACCAAAAGCAGCACTGTGGGAAACCGAATAGGAATGTAGGTCAAAATAGACAGGAAAATGGTAAAAAAAAAAAAAAACACCTATCCACTCTATACAAGTTCAAATCACCAAGACCAGATGGTTTACATCCCAGGGTTCTGAAGGACCTGGCAGATGTGATCTCAGAAGTACTGAGAAAAATCTTTCACTGCTCTTGGAGCACAGGGGAACTGCTAGATGACTGAAAAAGAGCTGATGTCGTTCTAGTGTATAAAAAGGGGGATCTGGGAGTCCACAGACCAATTAGCTTGACATTAATAATTACAGAAATCCTGGAAAAGATAAACAGGTTTGTAAGCATCTAGAAACGAACTAAGAGATTAACAGAAAGCAGCACAGTTTGTTAAAAACGGACCATGTCAGATAAACCTTATAATATATCCATAATACATCCCTGATAGACTAATTTAGTCACTCTATCAAAGGAAGCAATAACAGGACAATGAAGGGACCTTGGAGATCCTCAAACCTTTGCTCAAGTACTATATTATTTTAGACAAACAGCTGTTCAATCAGTTTTTTTAAAAAACCTCCAGTGTTAATATTGCCTCCCCAACTTTGCATCATCTGCAATTTGATGAGCATTCTTTCAAACTCTTCATCTAGGTTGTTTATGAAGATGTTGAAGAGCACTGGACCTAAGGAGAACCTTAAAGTACCCACCTGCACGCTTCCCTCCACATAGTTGTAGTTCCGTTGAGAGCCACACGCTGAGTGTGGTTTTCCACCTAATTGCAGAGCTATTGGCAATGATATTATCTCACATTGCTTTATCTTACTAAGAAGTACACTGTGGTCTACTTTATCAAAAGCCTTACCAAAATCTATATCCACAGCATTTCCATGGTCCTAGTCATTTTATCGAAGGCAATAACTTTTGTTTTGCATGGCTTGTTCTTCAACAAACCCACGGTTGCTTCTGTTAATCACCATCATTTGTAAATGCTCACAAATCTGCTTGATTACATTTTACAGAATTTTCACATGTATCAATGTCAAGCTGACTGGTCTGTAGTTTCCTGGATCCATCCTCCCTTCCACCCCCCCCCACCCCCCATTTTTTAAGATTTGAAGCACATCAACTCTTTTCCAGTTTTCTGGCAGTTTCCCTATGCTACAGGAGCTCTGAAAGATTTCATTCAGTAGTTCCAAGATCTGCCGTTCTTTCAGTACCTTGGGGTATAAACCATCCAATCCAGGATACTTTAACTCATTCAGATAAGCTAGGTGTTCTCTTACCAATTCCTCACCTATTTAGTTAGGATCAACACCCAAAAAGAGGATGCATGGGAGCAATAAGAATTATGACAGAGACTTCTTTGCAACTTATGCTGGTATGCTTTGCAACCTCTGAGAGCATACTCATTTGTTTACTTTTAATTATTATTGTAAGGTTCTTTAAATACACAAGAAATCAGTGAAGAATGGTTAGATGCTACAGAGAACCTAACAACACTGGAGTCATCAGTTTCAAAAGGTCAGTACTGATTTTGCATTGGTTTGGAATAATGCAGATAGTGCTGTAAATTTTGATTGGTTTTTTTCCCTGGAAGTATAGGAAAGCTCTTTTTTGTTGTCTTTTGGGCGATCCTATGCATAGACTTGTCCCTGTAGAAAGTGTTTTTAGAGATTTTATTTGAGAATTAATGCTTATCTCTTACCTCAAGGGAAAAAGTATATATTAATTTATATATTGAGAAATTTTGTTTTCTCCTACGAGATGAACTATAAAGGAAAGTAAAAGTAAGTACAAAATAATCTATCCATTTTTGTTTTTTTATTTGTTAGCTAACTGCACCATTCTCAATTTATATTTCTTTAGATGTCAGAACTGCCATCATACGCTAAGTTTTGCATTTGCTAGCTGCCTGTCAGCCATGGATATGGGAAGAGAAACTAGATGTGAGGGTGGGGCGAGTGTCTTCCAAAAATACCATCTCAAGGTCAAAGCTATGGAAATGAAATGTAATGGCTAATCAGCCAGCCCATTGTTGAAGAAACAGTTACCAAAACAATCTATTCAAATATAATTGGACAATAAGGGACTATCGGGCACGAACTGGGGAGGAACTGGACAGGGAAAGTTAACTGGGAAAATTTGGCATGTGAATCTTTAATTCTGGCTTTGCTATACAAACATCTAAGAAAAGCGAGCCTAAAGAAGAAAACAAATACACCCAAATTGGACAAATAGAAAACAAGCATCTACCATAAAAATGACCCTATCTATGAACCTAAAAAGGAAGACTGATGGAAACATGTCATTTTTAGAAGAAAACAAACAAGAGTAAATCCCTTCTATCTATCCTAGCCCACTCCAATGAAGCCCTTCTGAAACTGAACAATTGCTTTCAGAGTATTCCCGTGGAAGAAAATAAGTAGACATCTGTAAAAGCAGTCATCAATACTTTTTAAAAAAGAGGCAAAACCCAGCATTCCTGTGATAGGAAGAAAAGTATTCCAGACTTCCGTAGGGGAAAAAAGATGTGTATTGGTGATAGGAGATTCAATTCTTAGGGGAACAGAAACTAGTCTGCAGACCAGATAATCAAACTAAAGACAGGTATTTTGCTCTCTAGAGCAAAAATCAAAGATGTAACTGAGAATCTTACTAAAATAATCAAATCCATGGATTACTACCCTCTTCTACAAGTAGAGACCAATGACACAACAATGAATTGGAAAACAATAATGAGATTATGAAAAGCTAGGGAAGAAAGTTAAATAAGAGCACAGGGAAGAAGGCGGAGCCTTCTTGCTGACAGACTGTAGATCACGATTCTCTGCAGCTATGGTCTGTGCTCTTTCATTAGAGAGCCCCGAAAATTATTAGGGGCTAGAAGCTACCTTGGAGGGGTGGCGGAGTAAGGGGAAGCCGCAAGCCAGGTTGAGGGGAGCCGCATCTCCCCCCCCCCCGGGCTTGGTCTTTTTCCCCCCCCAAAGACGACTGCAGCAGTGGTTTAAAATGGCCACCCCAAAGAGGAGGACTCAGCTGGATTAAGATTTGTACAGGAGGGAAGAAAGAGGTGGATAACATCTGAACCGGGACAACTGGGCAATACAACTAAACAAAAGTACCCCAGGCTTAAGGTAACATGGAATTTTTAAGAAAAGAAAAGTGAGCGGCGAAATTACAAAGGGACAGGAAAAAAAGAAAAGAAAATATTTTTGGCAGCTAAGCAGGGCTTCGAACCAGGAGAGAAAGAAGCCGGAACTAAAGATTTAACTAAATTGGACTAAAATATTTTGGCAATAAACAGCCATAAAATAAAGCTGGACTTAAGATTGTCAAAAAATAATAATAATAAAGCTTACAAATTGGAGACTGGACTGTGCTGGAATATTGAGGTTCAAAAAACCCTAAATAAAAAAATAGGGGGAAAAGGTGAAGACTTTGTATAATGGAGAGTGCCACCTTTTGACAAAAACTTGAGCTCAAACAAAAGGGAAAGCAACCTCTTTCTGAATGAATTTGTGTGGATATAACATTAAAGAAATATTGAAACAAAGTAAGAATCTTAGAAAGTGAAAGCAGAACCAGAATGAAGAAAAAAACAAGGAAAGACTGACTGTGGGATTGATTCATGTTTTTGATATAGATCCTGGGCTGGAATAACTGAGAACTTTAGAAAATTGAAAGAAGAAAGAAGGAAAGTAAAAGTGGGTGGTTTTTTTGTGTGGACTTTAACAATCATAAAATATACGAGTGTATAATGATGATATCTTAAAAATATGAGAGAATTACTACTGGAAAGAGGCAAATCACTTTGCTCTGTGTTAGAAAAAATGGCAATGGCAATTGAAGAAGAAGAAGAAAGAATTTCAGAGGAGGAGGAGGAGTCAATTCAAGGAGAAGACATTTTAAATAGACAATTAATACAAAGAACACTACAAAGAAGTGGGGAAAGAAGAAAGATTAAAATGTTGAGATTTAAGAAGGTAATCAAAAGGGGGGATACCTGTGAAGTCGAAAGGCAGAAAGAGCCAGCAGAAAAGGGGAAAGGAATATATTAAGAAAGAGAGGGATATAAACTGGAATGAGAAAAGATATGGGGAAAAGGGGGAGGAGAAGCAGTAAGAAACAGGTGTATGAAATAAAGAAATACGGAAATAGTAAAATGTTGAAAAGAAATTGGTTTTTCAGAGATAATGGTTGATGAATTAAAAAGGGGGTTCTGCAGGGTGACAAGGGGTAATCAGAATATTTCTGCAATTAAAAATATTTAGAAAATAGGGTAATATAGATACTGATAACTTATTAAAAATCAAGGGGGAAAATATGCTGCGGAATCCAAATGAAAAAATGTAATTATTATTACTTCTTAAAAATAATGGTTTATTGGGAATCAAGATGATGGAATAAAGGTATATTTTAATCATTGAGGTGTCACACTCAAAACAGTAAAAGAGGGGAAACCTGTACTTGCTTTTTTTTTTTAGTGTTAAAATTTGTATTAATCTAGAATTTATAAAAAGAATGTGCAATGGAAAGGGAATATGACAGACTAAAGAACCAACTAAATTAAAAAGTTAATATAAACTATTAAAAGCAAGAAGAGACATTGGTAACGTTTTTATTATTATTAGGCAAACACATATTGTTTATCTTTATTTTTCAAATAAATATTAAAGGATTTTATTTGAAATAATTGAAATGAAACAAAAAGATGTTCCGATTGAGATTAATGAAAGAGGCTAAAATTAATGTGTTTGTTTCTCTCCGTACTGAAAATTTGGAATGAAAAAGGTAATAATAGAATTAAGTATGCATATATGAATGTATAATTGCTGTTATATTTATTTTATTTATTTATTTGATTTGTCAATTGTTTACAAGATAATAAGTATAAGTGTATACATAGTTTTGAATACATGAAATGGGTACATATAAGAAAAATAAAATAAAAATAAAAGAAACAATAGGACAGGGACGGTAGGCACGTTGGTGTGCTTATGCAGGGCCCCTAAAGACCTCTTAGGAAAGGGGTGAGGTCAATAGTAGACAGTCTAAGGTTAAAGTTTTTGGGGTTTGGGGAAGAAACAAAAAAAAAAGAATTTGTATGTAAAGGTGATGACCTGGAAATATGCTGTCCACTAAAAAGATATTTTTGTTTTTAATGTGAAAAACTGAATAAAATTTGTTAAAAAAGAAAGAAAGAAAGAAATAGGAGCACAATAAGTGCTTTCAACTGTACTTTCAATAAAAGGCCAACATTCAGTGAAGGAGTAAAGGATTTTAGAAATGAACCATGGTGAGCATTAGCCACATGATGGACTCTTGGCAAGGGATGGGCTGCATCTCACAAGAATTGGGAAGAATGTATTCAGAAAAGGACTTGCTCAGCTTGTCAGAAGGGCTTTAAGCTAAAATTGATGGCACGTGTGGGGGAGAGTGGCCAATCCTTAGGATCTTTAGTACCTAATCTCAAGCGTATACCTCAAGACAACCAGGGAAGGAAGAAAAACTCAGATATAACATAAAAGATATAGGAACCCTACCTATGGTCAGCCATAAAGGACTCAGACACTCAAACACTCAAAGTTTGGGAAATAAGGTGATGTCAACGTACTAGTACATGAGGGCAAGTATGATATAGTTGCCATTACTAAAACTTGATGGGATGAAACTCATGATTAGAATGTACTGGTGGAAGAATACAAGCGATTCAAAAGAAACAGAAAAATATTAGAATGTGTGGAAATGGAAAGATTAACACAATTAAGGAAAATGAAAATACTTTTTGACTTGGGACTTATTTTATCAATGGTTAGCTGACAAAAGCAGAAGTTAGAACCATGGAACTATAAGAAAAGGAACAATGAAAAAAGGAAAGCTCATTAAAAAGAATAAGCAAATATCAGTATTATTATTATGATCACGATGATAGAATGAATATCAATGTAATGAATATTGTAAACACTTTGATGATTATTTCCTAACACTATTTGTACCCAGACACTGTTTAATCAATAATGGAATTTTTATATATTATAAAATAAAAAACTATGCAAAAAAAGAAAAAACAGACCTAATAAAAGAGGAGTTAGAGTTACATTATATGTAAGAGATCACTATATCTCTACAGAAATGCACAAAAACAAGAATGAAACCACCTAGAATGCATATGGATCAATGTAAAAGGAAAACAGAATGACATTGCCATGCAACAGGCTACCCAACGGAGCAGAAGAAATAGCTGAACTTTCCACTAACCAGTTAACAAATGTATATAGGAAGCACTACAGTAGTAATGGGAGATTTTAACTACCATAACAACAACTGGGAGACAAACTGCATCAAGAGGGAGATTGAACAGGTTCTTGACCAACCTAGCTGACAACTTTGTCATCCAAAAGATAGAAGAGGTAAAGCCATACTGGACCTAATTGTTAATAATGATAGAGGGAGTTAAAGTTGCTGAAACTTTGGGCAAGGATGACTTATACTGGAATTCAATATAATGGAAACACAAGCAA